TGTAGTATAATTCTAGAATTCTCTGCCGGCAAATGGCAAAATATTTTGAAGACTCTGAAATGTCTGAATGCCTTTCAGCTCTGCTTATCACTGCATTTACAGCTATCTTCATTTTCATTACTCAAAAGAAGACAAGAATTATCGTCAATTTCTACCTCATAATATTATTCATAGTCAGGAACTCATACTGACTGCTTTCCACTGTTCCTACATCTCTTTTTTAAGCTTTCTTATGACTGCCCAATAATGAAGTTTTTTTGCACAAAGAAATTAATTTTATTACATTTCAGATGACTCCACTTGACATTGCAAGAAAAAACTCGTTATATGATATAATTACCATTTTATCAGGTTGGAGGAAATTTCCTGTTATCACAAATTAATTTTTTCAACTTTTTCACTGTTCTTTTTTCATTTTTTATAATGCTTTTTCAGTTATATTAGCCTTAAAAAATCAGTAAGTGGCAACACAATAGCAAATGTAGTACAATGTATCTGTATCCATACAGCTTCAAAAACAATAAAAGAATATGCATGCAGCAGATTGTTGTACAAAATTTAAATTTAAATGAAATGAAAATAAATTTGAGGTACAGTAGGCTTGGATATCTTAAATGACACTTTTGAAACGAATCATTGTATTGACACAAATAGAATTTTACAATCTTTTGAAGATACACACCTAATCATTTAAAATAAACTAATCATCTCCATTGAACAAAATGCAATTTTCATAATTCTAAGTTATAAATACACAAGAGGTTATAATTCTTAAAGCAGAAAATTAGCTTTGTCGATCAGCGTAAGTCGAGATATTGTTGAAAATGTTGTAAATGATGACAGGTAAAGATCTGTACAGCGTTATTCCGCTCACTTCATTCCGACTGAAGTGACGTATAAATTTCAGATTTAGATTTGGAACGTATTTAGGACCTACATGGCATCTGAAAAATCTTTTATACTTTAAGAATTCAATGCAAATAACGTGCTTTTTCTCCTTTGGCGGTATTAAACCTAAATTAAAAAACTTCTTGAATCAGAATTTTCCAGGACGTCCTAGATTTATTGAATGCTACTTACCAGTTATGTACTTTTACTGTATGCGATTCAATTCTTGTCAGAGAAAACGCTGAAATTAACCTAAGTCATTCTAGAACAAAAAGAAGACAACAAACGTCAATGCATTATTTGCTTTGAGAAACCACGAGACCCTGTCGGCTGTATGCACTGCTTGCAAATGATAGGCTGTCGTGCATGTGTTTTAAAGTGGAATTCCGCCGCTATATCTGACGACTTTGGCTGGAATAGCAGTTGTCCACTTTGCCGAAACCCTTGGAGAGACGGAATTGAAGTGTATCTTTGGAGCGATCAGTAGCTTGTATGACGTTAAATGTGGTTGTCGAATCTTACTTAATTAACCTTACAAGCTAAAGAGATTAAGGTTTCTGCTAGCTCTCAAGCAAATATTTCTTACATTTACACCTTTTTCAAGCCTTTCTTGAATATAAAGTTTCTTAATTGTTTAGCTTATTTACGCAAAAAACAAAGCTAAGATTAATAAAAAAAATTGCAATTCTATCTGCATAACAAACATTTCTTTCTCAGGAAAAAAAGTTGGAGTTAAAGTGTTGACTTGAAGAATAATTCAGTTTTTTTGTCGAATTACAACTTTAAATATAAATGATTTATTTTTAACATGTTTTTACCCTCAAACTGAACTTTTAAGCGGATAATTTATTGCGTGTCTCAGGCTGTGTACTATATTTTTAATAAACTTTATAGTTAAACACAAATTGTTCACTTTTTTATACCTATTAGGTTTGCTCAGTTTATCATTAAAAACTATACTTTGTTTGCCTGTTTTGTCTTTATGCAAAAGTAATATACCGCTGTTATTCCAGTGAATGAAAATTGTGATACAATGCAGCAAAGAACAAAAAGCGTATTTTTTGAAACAAATATATTGGGAAATTAGGTGGAATGTCAGATAAAACAACAGTTAATAGGTTCAGCATCAGCCAGTTAAGTCATCAGAAATAATCAACCTAAAAGAGATAAATGAATGATGCAGTGAGGAAAACAGACTTTTGAAGGCAAAATGATATTACAACTTTATTCTGATATTTCTGGCACTTACAGAGCTTAAGTAATTATATTTTACGATTGAAGCAATAATAACTTTGAATTTTAGAACGACTGTTGAATGCTTCACCTTTTTAGGGTAATACGATAAAAAAATTTTTTCATTGTGACTACAAACAGAAATAAACGCTTTTTTAACTAGTGGTGCTTTTCTGTTGTCCCGTCTTTATTTGCCTTTCAAAACGTAGAGCAAATAAAAACGATAAAAAAATGGGTGTTTAGAGACAAAAGGCAACCAAAAGATACAGATATGGTTACAAACTTCAAAACATGACTTTTTCCGTGTTCGTTCTTTATTTTGTTTTATTTTTTTGATTAAATTGTACTAGTTTTTCATGATCTTTTAACTTTTTTTTATCTAAGACGCTGGTGTTCAGACATAATCGCGTAAGTGAATTCATTTACTACAGAGTTTATGTGAATAATTTGACTTTTTAAAATTTCGTCTAAAGAGCAATTTTTGTTTGAATGTGCTTTTTTGAGATAGCTGGCTACTTGCAAAAAACTAAAAATGTTGTACTTTTCGTTTTGTTCAGATTTTTTTGTACTTTCAATTCACAGAGAAACTTTTTAAAAACTTTTCACGGTAAGTTTTAGATCTGCCATGAAAACAACATTTTCTGCTGCAAGTTCTCATGTTTTTTCCTGCAAATCCAATCTCATTTTTCAATATCTTTCCAGAAAAATAAGACTTTCTAGGAAGTAGCATAGACTGGCTGAGTTTGACAAATCTTGACGAGTGACAAAAAAGATGCAGCAAAAGAACGAAATCAAAGACGACGAGTAGAAAGGGTAAAGGTAAAGAATTAGGGAATTGCTGTGTCAGCAGCAAAGGTAACGCAACAAGCTTAAGTGGTGGGTGGTCAAGCACTTTCTGCTGCTTTGATATGAAGTCAGCCTTGATACGCATTGAAAGTTATTCTTCGTTTTTTTAATGTCAAATTCAAGAAGGTAGTGCCATTTCTAAATTTAACGTTAAGTAAAAAAATTTGTCAAGCAGTACGATGAAGCAGTTTTATTTTCCCTTTTTAAATGTTAATTTTGGAAAGAGGTTTTCATAGTTAGCTTTCAAAATTGACGCTATAATCACAGCAGTCTACTAAAAGTGTAAATTGGCATTTATCGCAAAATCATTGATCTTCGCAGGTCAAAGTTGGAGACTAGCAGTTAGCGAAAAGTTATCGCAGATAAGTTTAATCTGCATCAAAATTAGAGAAGGGAGAAATTGCAGAGGATAAATTGTGCAGCAGCAAAAAGTGGCACTACCTTCTTGGACTTGACATAAGAAAAACTTTTTAGTTGTTACATTTAGTTGTCTTTTTGCAATTATGTTGTTTTTTTGTTTTTTTTTTTAAAAATTTAATATGAGGAACAACATAAAGTATGTAATTGACAACTTTTCGCACTACTGATAAAAAACAGTAAAGAGTTTTATATAAGAAATAATTTTCAATCTAACTTTTTACTGCTTTATCACAGAACGCAATTAAAACTTTTGAGTCACTTTATCAACATTTTTTTGTAGTTTTTGCTGCATTTTTTGACTTTTTGAACTAGATAATAGAGCAAGATTCTTGTTTTAAACTGGAACAATGAGTAAACGAGATACTACTGACGTTTGTTATGCTTTTTTGCTTCCTTCTCCAGTGCAATATAATATCACCTGAAACTTTTTTCTCAGATGCTTTTTACTACCTGTAAAATTGACGCTATTTTTCCAATAACACTTGCATAAACTAAGCAAAATTGCAGCTAAAAAGTATGTGTTTCAGTTTTTTGCAAAGTAACAACTAACTTGACTAGAAAAAAGTTTTTTTTCAAGTTTTTCTTTTTGAAGTTGAGTTCTCAAAGTTCAGTTCTCAAAAAAGCATAAAAGTACGTCATGTCATAAGCGGAACAGTACTCGTAAATCTTTTTATCCAATATTTTACTAAAAATCAAAAATTTCTTCATTTCTATAATTGCTTTTTCTAGAGACTAAGTGTCTGGTTTGACTAACATTGTATTTCATCTAGTTCTTGAAAAATGAATGCCTTTCAAATTTTTTGACGTGATATTTGCAGATTATTATGTATATTAAACAAGACAATAACTTTTTAAAAATAACAAAATTATTGTAAAGCTGATGGACTTTTATATTGGCGTTAAAAAATGGGCAAAAAGTAATACACTGTGAAGGCATTACCGAGAAGAAAACAGGAAGGGCGAAAGAAAAGGTTGGCTGAAGCTGTCAGTGCGCTTTGTTTCTGGAAAGCTTGAGCAAAACGTTTCGTTTTGCTCAAGCTTTATTTTGAAAATTGCTCTCCGAAATAGCCTGCTGATATTATTCAGAGTTCGCTTATTGATATGATAAAAAGATACGTCTTTTTTAAAACTTACTTGCTTGTTTTTTTTAAAATTAAGAAGAACTCCTTTTTAAAGCATAGAAATATTTTGTACTGCATAAAGAAAATCATTTTTTGTAAAGAAAAGGAACACGTAGTTCAGAATTATACCCTGTAAAAATTTTTTACAATATACTGAGAAACTGGAATTGTAAAATAAATGAGAGAAGAACAGGTAAGTTCAAGATTTATTTATAAGTGCTTAGTGAAACTTGTACTGACTGCCTTAACAGGATCTGTTTTAGCTGCTCTTCGTTAGAAGATCACTAAGACATGTCCTGTTGCTGCTGCTTCTGCCCGAGGATAATAATCTTATATAAACTATGTGAATGAAGAGCCAAACTAATGAAAAAATGTTTGATGAGATTCACAATTGTTAATCAAGAATAGGCTCACACCCGATGCTACTGAATAAAAAGCTTACCCTTTATTCGGCAGAAAAGTGTCTACAGAACAAACTTTTTTTGCATTGACGCTACACATGGTTTGCTAAAATGAGAAGTTTTCTGGTTTTTTGTTTTTTTATTTTTTTAAAAAGCTAAATATTCAATATTAATTTTATAATCTGTGATGACCTTGCGAACAATCTCTAGCAGACCTGTAGCTAACGAGTTTCGCGTAGAGAGATCTCAGGAAGGTTATTTTTTAAAAGAGGAAAAGAGGAAAACGTCTGTAGTATCATGAACGCTGACGGGAAACTTATATAAGTTTTCTGAAAGTAAAGCGTTTTTTCTGTAAAAGTGAAGTGCTTTATTGTATTCTTTGCTTTTCCTCATGATTTTTGAAGGTAGAAGAATTTGAGTTACTTCGGCGTTTAGTGTTCAAGATTGTATCCTTTTATTACGACGTCTGACTCTAATTTATTTTTAGATAGCAGGGACAAGTCTTTGCAACATTTTTTTCCTTGAAAACTCTTCATTGGTTTCAGGGAACTCACTGCTTGTGATCTAAAAATAAACTTCTGCAAGAAATGGAAAAGGTGTAGTGTTTTGCTTTATTTCACTAAAATTACGCTAACAAATGCCAAATAAGCGTCAGCTCAAGGTGACGGCTATAAGAATTGCACACCAGTCTGACGAACTATAGATAAACGTGGTTTTATGTTTTCTTAGTCGTGTTACAGTGGACTCGGTGACCTGACTCAGAAGAAGAGTTTGTTAGATAGAATGTAACAGAATATTCATTTAAAAATGGAATATATAACAAAGAAAAATCAAGAAGGTGCAGTTACAATAAGCATGAAATAAGCACTGCATATTTTGTTAAATTCTTTTAATTATAATTGTTGCTTTACAGTATGCACAATTCTTTACACTAGCTTCATTTTCCGAATTTATTTATTAAAAGTAATAGCCACATACAGTACATCACAGCTAACAAAAACAGAAAACTATGTTTTACTCACTTTGAATAGATAATTTTAACATCAATTTTCTAGGCACAAATTAAAGTTCTGAGCGACAACATTTCTTTGTAAATTAAAAAAGACAGTCATCTTTTAACTTCAGCAAATAACGCTGCATACTGCATCTTCTCAAGGACGCATTGATTTGGTGAAGCGGCTTATTGAGAATGGAGCTGATGTCAATAAGAAGGATACTAATGGAGTAATATTTTTATAAAGATGTAGAGAATTCTTTTTTGGCAATTAAACGAAAGCAATCCGACAGGCACAGTACCAACTTTTTGTTACTATATTTTCTTGAATTCATGTTTGTCTGCTCTTGTGCTTATTCCTACATTTCGCAGTGACTCAGCAATTTTTTTTGTCGTTGTAGACAAAATTACAATGTGCTCTGAAATCGTGATTCTGAACGTTAACAGAAAAGATAGTAAACAAGAAAGAAGTGCTAAATTAAAAAATCTTTCTTAACGCAGAAAGCAATTTCGTTAGAAGGGCTGGAATAAAAATAAGAAATACTGCCGAAAACTACTAATCTGTAGTGATTAAATTTCTGTGAAATATCTGTAATTTTGCTGACACTGTTAGGGTTTAAGAGTCTAACGTAATATACAAATTAATCGTTAAAAATGTTAATTAACAATTAAAAGAATATTTGAGAACAAACAAAAGCGCTGACTAGAAAAAGCAAGTTGCATTTAAGCATAACGATAACAGTTTCTAAATTTGTTTATATAATTACTAAGTGGGTAGCAATAGTAGAGTAAGCAAAAAATAAAACATTACTTATTAAAAGTATAAAACGTAAATATTCAAGGAATAAAAACTGATATTTCACTCGCTTCAGCGAACGCCATTATGGATCACCGCTTCCGAAGGACACGCTGACGTAGCAGAATACTTGGTGGAAATGAAAGCTGAAATTGACGCAGAAGACGATGACGAGGTACAGCATTATTTACGTAAAAAATTGATTTAAATATGTTGTTATTTGAAACAGTTTGATATTAGATGGTTGTTGTGAAAATTGAAGATACTTCTGATAAGTTTTGAACCTTTTGCTTTTTTACGATTATACTTCTAATTTTTTGTAACCTATTTAATAGATTACATGAAAACCAGCTGCTAGTAAGTTCTAATGCGAGTAAAGGAATAGAAGAGTCGTTATCATGATCGAAGAAACATTTTTCTTCGTATCAGTTGCGCATTAATTAATGCGTAATTTTTTTTTGCAAAGCTCTTACGAAGCTTGCGTACAAAAATACTATTTTTTTTTTTTGAATAACAGCTCATAAGCACCAAAATTTTTACCCATTTCAGGCCACAACTACAGCATACAAAAATGTGCGCTGCTTTATTTAAGGTGTTTATTTTTGTTAAACAAGTTTCAATTCAATCGTATATTTACTGAGCATCATTGAGAAAAGATTTTTCAAAACTTTTAATATCTTTTATTACAAAGTCTGCAAGAACCTTTTTTGCTACAAAATGCTGAGAAAAAAATATTTAACTAGCAAAAATAAAAAATATTTTTAACATTTATGCACTTCTTTACTCCTATTTTAACGTTAATGGAAATGTAAATTCTCATGGCAGCCGAAATAAAGTTACAGTATAATTGATATCATTGAAACAGATCACTTAGAAGTTTTCACAAAAGATAGGCTCAAACTTTTGCACTCTTGCTGCTCAATAATAGCTTAACATTTCTTCATTTAGCAAACTCCGTTATGCATTGCTGCTTCTAAAGGCTATGCCGACGTAGTAAAATTTTTGTTACAGAAGGGAGCCGATGCTAATAGAAGAAATAATGAAGAGGTATGATTTTTAAGTTTTCTTGCGCTATAAGCTTTCAAACAATTTGAAGAGCTTGGTCATTCAAAAACCTTTTTTTGAAAGATATAACGTGATGTGTTACTACCTTTTAGACTTTTTAGCGAATTGAGTTTTTATATGAAAAATACAATAGACAAAAAGCAGGAAAGAAAAATGACAAATTTGAGAGATGCATAATTATTACAGTTTAATGAGAATTGGTAAGAAGCGCATCAATTCCAGACCGCCTTAGCTTTGCTCTCTCATTGCAGCTTTTTTGATTTGTGATCTATTCCTTGCACCTTCTCAGATGAATATTTAAATCGACTATGTCTTGAAACTGATACTTTTCTGTAAATTTTTTTTATAAAAAAGAAGCCGCTTTGTGGCTTTTAGTTGAAAAGAACAATTTAAAAAATCAAAACTTTTTAGAGTATAATTACTTTACACTTTGTGCAGTTAACTGAAGATTCAATACGAAACAGTCAAAAGTTTGGATAGGAAGCAAGCCATCTGTTGTAAGACAGCCACGCATTTCATTGCAGTACATAACTAGAAAATTAAAATTTAGTTTGCTCAATACAAATCGTTCGTTCATTTTAGGAAACACCCCTTTACATAGCGTCTTCAAACGGATATCTCGATGTAGTGAAATGTTTGCTGGAAGCAGGAACGGATGTCAACGCAAAGCACAATTTTGGGGTGAGAATTACAAAAAGTATCACTGAAACGATTCTATTTATTTCAGAGTTGCATTGAGGTTGAAAACTACATACAGTAGCTTCACTTCGCTTTATACTAGAGATTTAAAAAGTTATGATAATAGCAGAAAAATTAAAATGACTACTCAAAACCTTAAAACCTAAAAATATTGTGGGGAAGGTAAAATAGGTTTTTTGGAGATTGATTAGGTCATTAAGAACTAGTTTGATGGTTCAAGTAGTAACTGAGGTTAACTGTCAGAATTATAGAATTGTTAAATTGGATAATTTTGCAAATTGGTGGTTAAAGCGAAACTTAAAGAGTGTAGCTTACTACATTCAAGTTTTTATTTTAGTGGACTTCACTATTTGTAGCGTGTTGGAAAGGGCATTACGATGTGATTAGATCTTTAATAGAGAATGACGCCGACGTCAATGTTAAAGATGATGACGGAGTAAAAATTTGCTTAGCACGTTACAGAAGTTTTGTGCTAATTGTTATTTTATAATTTTTCTGAAATTGTTTTCTCCAAAGCTTTTTAAAATGAGAGTTTGCTGATCAGTCATTTCTTTGAATACTTTACCTTTGTCAAATTATTTGACTTTACAAATTCTATTTTTTCGCATAATCTACAGCAATTTCTACAGCGTTATTTAAAGTTGTAAGAGCTAGTAATGCTATTATCCGACATATTTTTTTTAAAATTAGCATTTTCAGACAACGCCTTTTTAGTTTGGGTTCGAAAGACCTGAAAGCGCACATATAAATAATTATGAATTTACTGAATTAATGTATGGTGCTTTATAGCTTACCTAGAACTTTAACAGCTACTTTTTCAGGCAAAACAGTGTTTATGCAAATCTGAAATAAAATTTATAAAGGTTTTCATCTTTTTGTTTAGTGGACGCCGTTGTATGCCGCATCATTGGAAGGACATTTTGAGGTAGTAAAGTATCTAACGGCAAACGGAGCTGATGTGAATGCAAAGTGCATCAATGGAGTAACTTCTTCTCTTTTTTTTTAAATATTTTAGACTTTTGATTTTTCCACTTTGTCATTATTGTTTCATTGCTACACTGTCGTCTAACACATTTGTTTACAATTGTGAAATTTCATTTCGAACACGGAAGCACGTAAAACTTCACCATCACTAAAGCAATTCAGAATACTCATTATCTCGCAAATAATTTGAAACTGTTTCAAATGAAAGTAACTCTTGTCATATTTGATTTCTACTAACCGGAAGTTTAAAAAAATTAAAATGTATTGAAAGTTTAGGCTAAAATTTGAGAATTTTAGTCTTCACTGAAAAATACTGAACAAAGCTAGGAACTTAAAAAAGCTGATCGCTCAAATGCTATTTTAAGAAAACCATTTTAAAAATGTAACTAATCAATCAATGTCAATAAAAGTTTTTTTTGACATTAGGAGAAATAAAAACCTAATCAAAGTCATTATTTTTATAACTTAAGGGGACACCGTTATGGATCGCATGTTCTAAGGGTTACAAGAACGTGGCAGTTTGCTTGGTGGAAAGAGAAGCTGAGGTCGATTCACGGGATGAAAACGGAGTAAGGCTACATTGTGTTTTTCTGTTTTTTAGCAGAATATCTGCTGGTTTCTAAACGCAACAAAGAGATATTTTTTGCAGTTGTTTATTTGTAAAGATTGGTTAAAAAACTAGTGGATAATAGAAATTATACTTCAACAAAAAGGTTTTCTCTCGAGCAGATAATTATCTTTTAAAGGAAAAATAAGTGTGTAAACGAACATTTTCAGAGGACACCGTTATGGATTGCATGTAAGCAAGACCGCATCGAAATTGTCAGGTACTTGCGAGAGCAGGGAGCTGATGTCAATGCAAAAGATAGGTTCAAAGTACGCAAGAAGATAAAATTTGTTGTAAGAAATAAACAGTAATATGTATTATAACAGTTAAGTAGTAAGATCAACGCTCGAGTGCAAGGGTTTAACCGTAAGCGCGCAAGATGTAGATCTCCAACTCACCGCAAAAATTTGTCGGTGCTTTGTCTGCTTCGATTCAATAAGACGAAGAAATATAAAACAATCGTCATACTGCTGTTCAAGACGAATTTCTGCTTTCGCAGCTTTTTGAACGTTTTTCATTCTCTGCAAAGATTTTGAATTCTGACCAGTCAGTTCCTGAACGAAATTTTTGCTTAAGATGGCAGTATGCGAAAAAATGTATGAAACTAATTACGCTTTTTTCAGAAAAGTCCGATAGATATTGCAGAGCAAAATTCGCTTGAGGAAATCCTCGATATTTTAAAAGGTAACTTGAAAATTTGTGCTTGCATATGTATCTGACTAAGAACAGTAATTTTCTTTTTACGTGAGACGACGACAGAAAGAAGAACTGATAACATTCGCAAAACTGGCATAAGTGTCCAACATGAGCAGCTGCAGTATATTTTCCTGTTAGCTTAGTGAAACACATGAGAAAGCTAGTAGTTCAGCACCAAGTTTGTACCACTGGGAACGGTCAAACAGCTGTAGCTTTTAAAAAATACTTTAAAATTGCGTTACAGAAATTCTTCAATTTTACAAAGAAAACAGCTATTTCAAACTGCGTAATAAGTGACAAAGTTTTAGTATTCTCAAAATTACCAAAAAAACAACTAAAGATTTCTTCTGTTATATTTCTTCTGTTGTTGTTTTGTAAAAATTAGAATTTTAGTTTTTTCAAAAACTAGTAGAGGCAGATGTAGAAGTACACTGCTATAAATTACACTAGAACATTACTGCTTGCAAGAAGCTTTTTTTCAAAGTAGCTCTTCAAAGCTTTCATGCGATATATCGATGACATTTATAAAATTCATCACAAGTGAATAAGTAGTATAAAAATCTACATTTATTTTGAAAATTAAAAGATAACATTTTTACCTTATTTCTGTTTCTAATGACCAAATGTCGGTAAAATCAAAGTGTTTGCTAAAAAGTTGAACGTGGAAGTACGTTGCTACAGACATGCAAATAATAATCTGAAAACAGTGAAAGCAAAAAACGAGTGAATACCTAGCCGCCACTTCAATATTGTTTCTTACAAAATTGTTTTTTCTCAAAAGTTAAAGGTAAAATGGAAAGTGTTTACTATTGCGAAAACTAAAAGCCAAGTTTTGATTAACAGTCAATAAGCTGCTTTTCAAGTTGCCTCGTATAAATTTTACACAGCGTATTCCGCGCAAAACTAATTTCAATAGTTTTCTGTATAGCTAAACAAATTTATGCGAGTAATCTTGTTTGGCTTAAAAATGCCACTTTTTTTAACCAAAAAAAATAACTAAAGTTAAAAGTACAGCTGGAGCAGCTAGAGAAAAGTTAAATTATTAAAGCTACACCAAGGTAAAGAACATTGAGAACTAGAATGTCACAGCCAGTCAAAAAAAAGTAAAAATAAAAGCTGTAATGCTCTCTTAAAGCCTCATCTTCGACAAAACGACTACAACTTATCTTACTGCGGCTTTTTTTATAAGAATTATTTGTCTGCATTTGAAGTTTTTAAGCTCACTATTGTAGGAAATAAGATCATTTAAAATATAAAAGCAACGTGTCAAGTGCTCAAACTTGTCAGAATGTGGATGAATAATTTTCTAACCAACTTTTGGTTATTGCTTATGAAACTTTTATGGTGAGTTTAGAAAAATGATTTGAAACAGATTTAGTTATACTTGTTTAAAATGGTTTATTAGATATTGATTCAGAGCCAACCAAAATTGACAATTATGATAACGAATGCTCAATTTGTTTCGGCGAACTAGATCATCCTGTTGGCTGTATGGCCTGTCATCAAATGTTAGGATGCAGAGAGTGTATCCTACAGTGGAATGGTGATCCGAGTAGCGGACGAAGCTGTCCAATGTGTCGAAAAAGCTGGGAAGATGGTCCCGAAATTCTTCCTTGGGAATATTTTGTTAACGGTCATATGCAATTTTAATAGTAACCTATAAACTGTGCTACGCAACTGTAATGCTGACAAAACCAATGCAACTTTTTTCTACTTCTTGATTTCATTATTTTCCATTTTGATCGTGTACAGCGACTGTGTTTGCTGTAAATAGTACTGGCTTCTAGTTGTACTGAAGTTTTTGCACAACGAAATTTATACTTTTGGAGCCAGAAAACAAAAGTTTTATTAACAATAAATATGAATCTCATAAAAGTTTCAGCAGATGTTTCAATTCTGCAAAAACTCTTTAGAAAAAGATTTTAATTTTTTGAAGTGATCACCTAAAAAGCTATGCACTAAATTTTTGCTTTAAAAATTGTCTTCTTTTTTTATTTCTTGTTGTATTGCTCGCTTGTCTGCTGCAGGTTTTCTCATATTTATTAATAAAACTGTAACGTTATTACTGTACTGCGTTTTACGCAAAGACTTTAAATAAATTGTTTATTGTTAGAATTTTAAGAAAAGATTGTTTTGATAAGAAGTGACACATCTCATCCGTAATGAAATAACAGTGAAAAGAAATTTCCAAAGCCAAAGTTTAACTTATCAGTGTAGCAAAAAAGTGACTTTTATAGATGTTCAAAAATTATTGTGGCCTCTTCGTTGATGAGGAAAGAGGGGTTTTAAGACACCTATAAACGGCTGGGTGCAAGTATAAAACCTGAAATCAGAAACTTGTTATAACGACTATCAATACAAAAAAGTGACCTGCATCAAGATGATGATTTTATACCTTAAAGTTAAAAATTATTTACAGAGTATAATAGCCATAAATTCCATAACATTTTGTATATCAAAGCGTACTGTTTAAGAATCTAAAGCCGTTTTGCTGCGGTTTTGGCAATAAGTCTTAGAAGTTACTCATATGCTCGTCTGCAGAGAACGAGCTCCAATTGTCAACCAAATTTTTCAGTTAATCAGGCTACCTAAAAAATCGTAACTAGAACAGACATGCAAGATTAATGAGTACCTCTACAACTTTGATGTTACAATTGTCATTATCATGGAAAAGATGATGTAAGGTGTAACAGACGCTTGTAGAAACCCTGTTTTAGCTAGCTTTTTTATTCGTAAGCACAACCCCGCTTACCACACATTTCTTAAAAATGAAAACTGAAGCTTCAAACACCAGTTTATTTATTTCTGCTGCTACATTCAGTGACGTAAAGTAATCAAAAAATTGATTATTTTTCATTTTTGGTTTCTTATCATTTTGTAATCTTCTGTATATTTCTTCTTTTTTCTCTTGCTCTACAGAAATGGTAAAACAAAAGAAGACTATAAAACCCAAAGATAAGAAACAGGAAAAGAAACAGACTAGCTGCCCTTCTGCAAACGACTTCAGAAAGTTTGGATTTCAGTTTATATTTGTGCAAGCACATGCTCTAATAACTTTTTTTGAGAGCTGTTAAGGCCCTATCACTTAGAAAAGCAAGTGTCGTCTTGTACTTGTACCTGATAAGCACAGAGCAGCTCTCACTTCACACACCTGTCTATAATATTTTTCATGCAAGAAGGAGTACTTTTAGAGACAGGAGCAGAAATATCAATACAAATAACACAATAATTTTTGGACATTTAACGCGGAAATTAACTACCTTCTAAAATAAAAACGTAAAATGAACTGACTGAAACAAAACGTCGTTCAGAACTATCGTAAAATTGTGGATCCGTATGTATAAAAGAGAAATCAGTCGCTAGCACTGGCTAAATAATCTTGTAGCACTTAGAATTCGTTCGTTAATTAAGGTCAATCAGCTCAACTTTATCGACCAAGGCGAAAAAACCATTGTAAAGCAATAGGTGTTTTTTGATAAGTGGTCAACTAATTTCTTCAGTCGTAACCTTTAAACTCTAATTTTTTTGACTGTATTTCAATCTGTTTCTGATTATTACTTTTGTTGCGTTTCGAATTATGTGTTTTCCAAATTTGTAAGTCATAAGTTGATACTAATGTAAGTGTATTATGTACTTTTATAAATGGTTGTGGCTAGCCACCCAAATTTGAAGTTCTCGACAAATTCTCAAGCTTTCTTCAACAGCCAAACGTGATAAGAAGATGTACGAAAATTAGAAGACGGTATAATTTGTTGCAACTTTTCAGTTGAAGTCGTTTTATAAACTTGAAAAGAAGGTTGTAAATATAACAGACAAGAAACTCGGTCGTGCATCAAAGTATAATGCTGATAAAGTCCTACTGACCCACTACAGAGAAGGCTAGCAGTTTTTTCAAATATTGTTTTCTTCTGTTTTCTCTCTAAAATGCTCATTGTTATCACCTAAACTATTGCTTCCTTTTTCTTGCTTAAAGCTTTGTATTTTCTCACTACTCAAACGCTGAGAAAAAATATTTTCACCTTCCAACTTTGAAGACTGAGTTAAAATACATTGTAAATTGGAAATGTAAGTGATAATTTAAAAACCATCTGACTTTCTGGCTCTTAAGGCACTTTGGCGATCAAATATAAAGCTTACGGCTTGTGTTTTATTGGAAACTTGAGCAAAAATATTTCGGAAGTTGGCGCTACAAATATAACTGTATTGAATAAGAAAGCTTCTGATTTATATTAAAACGTTGTAATAAAAGTTTGAGAAACTTTTTGTACAAATTTTGACTTATTCTCTTCAAATGTACAAGTTTTACAGAATTCGTAATATTACTGATTAAGACTACAAGGATGGGTGCACGTAATTCTAAACAAACGGAAAACAGTGAGCAAGAAAACGCTTCTACGGTTGGAATTTCTTTTCAGTAATTGTTAAGCTAAGTTGAACCAGGTTCAGCAAACTTTTAAGTCTTTTTTAGGTGTACCAATACCATCTATTTATTTTCGGAATCTGTTTAGTTTTCTACCGATACCAAAAAAAAATTTTTTTTTCAAAAAAAGTCAATAATTTTTAATTTTTTACGAAGTTTTACTAATTTAAAACTTCTTAAGCATCATATTTCTGAACACTGCAGCAAACACGAAAAGCAGCTAAGTTAAACCACGTCCAGCAAACTTTCAAGTCTTCTTCAATTCTAAACTCTGTCAAAGCAGCTAAAAATATCAAAGCTTAGTCAGGTGCTGCAAAAATTTGTCTTACACAAACGGTACAGTGCAAGATAAAAATAACGACATCTGTACGCTGTAGTCAATAATTTTGTAACCTGACTTTTTCAGTCACAAAGCGCAGAAGTCAATAAAGCTTCCAAAAAAGGTAAAGCAAATAACACAAGTGTGATGGTTAGTCTTTTTAATATCATTTTTCCTTCAACAAGAAGAAAAAAAGAATCTGCTCTTTAAATTTGCTTCACTTTTTATTTTGATTATCATCAACCTCTTACAAAAAAAGAACTAAAAACTTAGGTTTTAGCTTCTAAAACACGACTGCCATCGAACTTCTTAATCAGTTCTTAAGAACTTTCTGTAGTAACAAAATAAGCCAATTCTGTATAAGCGAACATTATCAAAACGATTAATAAGTATGACTACATTTCGCAACAGTCCCAGAAAGTAAAACAAGGCTACGATTAATTGTCTTATTAAAACCAAAACAAAATTCTTGTTATGAGTTGTTGTTGTCGATTTTTGTTAAAACTTTGGTAATGATTGACAATAAGAGAACAGCAGAATAAAATGATAATCAAATCTGTAGATTTTTTAAGTTGACTTAGGCACTGCAATTTTTTTAAAATGGCAAATGGCTGTTTAAGAACAAAGCTTTGAGAACCCACTGTTTCGACGGGAACTACAACGCGGTAAAAAATTTGGTAGAAAGAGGTGCTGATATTGAATCAAAAAACTCGTCACAGGTGGGTGCTTGCAGATGTTTATATAAAAAAATATAGTGAAAATTGTTAGGAAACTTTAGTATATCTTACTGTATTGAAATTAATTTTTTCCAAGCAGTAAGCTCAACTGTGAACAAAAAAATACAAAAATTTTCTTAATTTAAGAAATTATTCAATGTACAAAGTGAAAAGAAAATGGATTTTTTTTTTTTTTTTTGTGGTCGCGGGTTTCGTTCTTTGAAGCAAAACAATTTTAAGTTGTCTGAAACGAATGTCATCGTTGAAATTTGAAAAGCCATTTCTCAGGGATTGACTATTTTTCTAATCAAAATTTTTATGCGACAAGTTTGCTCAAGTGTTAAAAGCAAAAAAAGCTCTAAAAAATTTCTTTTTTCATCACTACAGTTTTCGACTTGTCGATCTGACACTGTTATTCTGCTCTGCCACCACCGTCTCTACTGAATAGAAATAATATTAATTTTTCTTAACCAATTTTCTTGCATCAGCTTAGACTCTTCAGTCATGTAACTTATGTACCTCTCAGTATTGTTTCATAAAAGAACGAAAACCGCTGCTGCTACGAAACTCATTAAACCTTTGCCATTCTTCTAAATGTTCCCTCTCGTATACCCTAAATCCTACTTTTACAGTGTCTTGCTATGATTATTTTGCTTACTCTTTTTTTATGATTGTTATATATAAAACTATAAAGAAGCTATTCATATGCCACAGCAAAATTCAACAATTGTTTGATCATTGGTACAGTAAGCAAGGCTAAAAAATTGTCGCAATTTCATGTATCTTCTAACCGCCTTAACTGGCTTCTCGACTATTACAATGTTGGGCTTCTTCTGAGCGATTTCTGTAAAATTTTTTTAGTTATCTGTATCTGTTAAAGTTTCAAAGTAAAATTCAGTTTTAAATTTAGAAAATCTAGTGCAACAAGTGATTTTAATTTGAATATATCGTAAGGCTTATTTTTAACACAGTACCCTCGCTGAACCCAAATAAACTGAATTCTGTCTTGCAAAGCAAATTTTTCTAAACTTGATTTTTAAATATTCCATGGCAGAGGTCTTCTTCATTTTAGCAGACACCGTTATGGGTGGTATCTCAGAAAGGATATGTCAATATCGCAAAATATTTGTTGGAAAGCGGTGCTGATGTTAATGCGAAAGATGAGAACGGGGTTAGAAATTGTTAAATCACTTTAAAAATTTTTCTTAAAAAAAAAAGACACAAATTTTTCACCTGTAGCATTTCTTGAGCAGTTCTTTAGTAATACAGAAAAAGTAGTTTCTAGAATAAAACATAAACATAAATACAATATAAAATAATAGAATATAAACTGCAACTTAAAATGTCTCAATTTCACTGTGCCTAACTTCTGATAAAAGCTCACTTCAGATGACTCCACTACACATTGCATCTTTGGAAAAACATATAAATCTGGCGATTGTTTTGATAGAAAATGAGGCTCAAATTAACGCAAAAAATAAAGACCAGGTAGAAAATTGTCATACTATATTATAATCTCCACTATTTTATTTTTGTCAACATTTCCAAACAAAAAAAAAAATTTACTTAATATCTACGAGTTACTGTTTCAAAAAATTTTAAATTAGCGTAGCGGACATTTCTTCCAATGCGTAACATAAAGCTGTAATTTGAAAAAATAAAATTTGCAAATGTTAATAAAAAAACTCCAGAACAACTAGATAATTTACGACTATTTAGCTGTTCTTAACAAGCCTTCAATTTGTTCAACAGTTCAATTTGATTTAATGTATTAGTACAGCACACTTGAAAAAAAGTGTACATTACAGCATTATTTCTTGTTAGATACTTTAATTTCTTTCCAGATGTTTTTAGAAACCCTTAAAACTTAAATAAAATTTGTATCTAAATACCTGAGTTTTTTTATGCTAAAAGTTAAAAACATTTAAGTAAAATTGAAACTATTTATTTATCCAAATAAACAATGAACTTAAACTAAAGAGCTGGTTTTTAAACGTCTGAAAATATTATGTTTTTTTGTCAACAGAATTCATTTTCCTTTGTAATTTCAAACGTAAAAGTCTCTGCTTAGGTTTATTTTTTTAAAACCAGACAAAATTTGCAGTCTTTAAATACCAGAGATATTTCAACACATAATAGCTCTGAAGCATCACAGCGATTGAAGTACTTTCCTTTCTGAAAACACCAGCAGTTCAAATCTGATAACCATAAAATTTCCTTTGCTTTGCGTTTTTGTGTAGACACCAAAATTAAAAATAAGGAAAACGAGAGACCAACAAGAAAAAATATCAATGTTTTTTTTATTATATCTTCTGCTCATAAAAAAAAGCAAATGAAACAATAAAGAGAACAGTGCAGATAACTTGATGTCAGGCGTTCTAAAAAAGCAGTAACTTGTTGACAAAAACAGACGTAAAACAATGTCTTAATAGAATTATAATATTTTTTTTGCTTTAGCAGACACCGTTACGAAGTGTGATCAAGGAGAATTATTTTGACATAGTAAAGTTACTGGTGGAATCTGGTGCCGACTTGAATGCAGCAGATAAAAATAAGGTAAAACTTTGTTGCATCAATAAAAAAGTTTGCTTTTGAACCGTGTTACTGTTGGCTACAAAACTGGTGGCCTATAATCAAAAAACTTTCTAGAAAAGATACAGAAAAAAACCTTTTAAAGCTTCTATTTGCCAAACTGCTCAAACAAGACTCAAAAAAACTACTTGGTTTATGAAAATAAAGTAGTTTTGCTTGAAAGTAGTTTCACGTATCTGTTTAACTTCATTCTCAATTTTAGTGGTCACCACTGCATGCCGCTTCTTCAAATGGACTCAGTCGTATAGCAAAATATTTGATTGAAAAAGGTGCTGAAATCGACGCAAAAACTGCATATATGGTATAATCTTTCTGCAAGACAGCAGTTACAAAAAAATTTGAAAAAAAGCAATACTGCAGTATCTGTAATTTCAAATCGCTATAAAACTTTTCAAATCAGAAGCATGCATTTAATTTCTCATGTGTAGTAGGATACGTAAGCCTGAAGATTCTAACAGCAGCTAAAGCCTAATACAGTGATAAATTAAAGCTGCATGCTTATTCTCAGCTGAGTTAGCTGCTTTACTAAATTTAGCAAACACCATTACATCTTGCAACATCTGAAAGCCACATCAGTGTCGTAAAAACTTTGATAGATGCAGGAGCCTCTATTGACGAATTGGACAAAAATAAGGTATGTCACTGTAAAGGCAATATTTTTAAGCAATTTTTTTTATTGTTACAATTAGATTTTTGTCAGTTTAAGAAAAAGATTACGATACACTGAAAAAGTATTTCAGATTCCAATTTGATTTTGTAGTTGAAGTTCCTGAAAAAAACTTAAATAAACTGTTGCTCTTGTAAAATCCCTACACTTTTTTTTCTCTTTTCGCCTATTTTTGCTATTACCCAAAATATATTTCCAATTACATTTTTACTTTAAACTAGGACATAAGATCTGTTTGAACAAAACTCACATTAAGCTAGTTACTAATTTATTTACCGCATCTGCATCAGAAAGTTGGAATACTATGGTAGAAGCTATAAATAAAGAAGCCATTTTCAATGATGTTTTTGTCTAAAAATTAGATGTAAAAAAGTTTTTTTTGACATAATTATGCATTGTGTTAAAAACACCCTATTAATTTCAGTAGAATCATAAGACAGTGAAATGCATTACCAGTGAAACATGCAACACTTGGTAATTTATAAAATACGTTAAGCAGAAAGTTGAAATGTACCAAAAATTGCATTGTCGTATCGTTTTTTGAATAAACATCAAATAAGTCAATTTTTTTATCAGCAACAAGTTTAAAGCGTTTTAGCTTTAAAAGCTTTCTAATACCATGTTTTGTAAACTAAGTAGTTTTCCACAATCTTCTTCTTCTTCTTTATCTACAAATTCAAATCAGGATTTCAAGCATTATTGTTGAAAATGATATATTATTCAGACAAAAATTATAATTCTGCATTTTTTGTTTATTTAAAATTGAAATTAGCTGTAAATTTACCAAGAATTTTTTTCCAGAGAACCGCATTTAAAATTGCATTGGAAAACTCGTTGTTTGATATTGCTGAAGTTCTA